TAGGACAACTGCCTCCTGGACAACTGCCTCCCATTGCCAGTGAATCTTAACAGCCATCCTAAAAAACTTTGAAAACTGCCATATGTTGGACTTGGAATTTCAGTGTGTGATATATGTCAGTGAATTTTTAAATATAAAGTTGATCCTGACTTTGTCCTGAATATTTGAATGTTACCAGCTCTGGCCTTCATCCCACAAGATGACGTGGTTGATGTATTCGAGGAACTGCAAGAGCTGCCACCTGAAGCTGATCCTCTCATAGACTACTTCAACGATACATACATTGACAAACAACTTTGACATAACAGGTGAGCTCCACGTTTCTCTGACAGCATGAGGTATATGTATGATCATGTAGCCGAAGATTTATTTCACACCAACAACTTCTTAGAAGGATGGCATAACCATATCCAAGCAAACATTACTCCATTAAATCCAAATATCTGGAAGTTTCTTGAAGTGTAGAAGAGGGAGCAAGCACTGGCCAACATCACCATCAATCAGATGATTGCAGGAGAGCAAGCACCACCTAAGTGGAAACATTATCAAGATTCGACAGCCAAAATAGCAATCATCGTACAAGACTTCGAGAACCGCCATGTGTTGGAATTTTTTAGGGGAATATCCCATAACTTGCAATTTTGGTGGGTGATATATAAATGTCAGTGAATTTTGAAATATTGATTATGAATGATCCACAATTCCCCTCAAAAAGTCCAACACATGGCAGTTCTCAAAGTTTTTATAATGGTTACTATGATTCACTGGCACTAGGGGGCAATTGTCCCATGGAGGCAGTTGTCCACGGGGCAACTGTCCTGATACCCAGTCAAGTACCACAAGGCTCTATCCTTGGACCCACCTTGTTTGTGATCTACATACAGTAAATGACATAGATGAAAAATATCAGGCCATATTGTCAAGTTTGCGGAGGACACGAAAATATTTGGGAAGGTAGCAAGTGAAGATGATGCACAACAATGCAGAAAGACCTGCAAGAACAGTTCAAATGGTCTCAAGACTGGCAAATGCTCTTTAACATTATGAAATGCAAGGCCCTACACATAGGATACAACAACCATAATTACAACTATTCTGTTAATAACACTCTCCTAGATACAGGTATCCCTAGTTTAACGTTGAGGTTGCGTCCCTGATAAACTTTACATTAAGTGAAATTATCGTTAAACGAAGGATAACAGCAAAGCATGAAGGGGAATACAGTAATAGGTTCAAATGGCAGGGCAGTAAACACTAATTGCAGTACTGTACTCCCGAATAATAACAATAATAAATGAGTTTGTTATAAGCTGTTTCAAAGTTAAAAGGTTCATTTATTAACACCAAACAGAAAATAAATGCTGTGGTTCAGAGTTGAAATGATTTAGCAAGCAAAAGATGAGCCAAATTCAAAGAAATTTCAAAATGAATATGTAAAAAATTAACAAAAACTGTTATGATAAACAATAAAATTGATACATAGCATATCATAAAATACAATAGCACATACTTTATGCAAAAAAAAGTCCTTCCACACTCAAACCATCCTCTGGGCGAAGCGACACAGTTCAGCTGACTCATCGACGTGTGGCTTCTGCCACGCTGTGTGTATGCCATGATATCACATTAAGCGACGGAGTCAGGGACTCACAATGCAGTTACAGCTCACTATCTCCACAAATATCCTCACTTCACACACATACACACCCATGCCCTTTATTTTTATTATTTTATAGTTTTATATTTTCTCTTTCTTATTTCTAAGCCACATTAGAGTATTGTTATAATTTTCCCCCAACTTCTAGTTTCATTACATATAACAAAGACAACATGCCATCTCACAGGCCACCTCATACTCAAGTTTTCCCTCTTCACATTGAGTCGAGCTATCGCCTAACTGAATTTTGACCGAACGTTAAGTGAGAAAGGGTGTCAAAATTTTCTTTATTGCTAAACCTAATTAACAGTAAGTGAATTAATGCTAAACAAGGGAAACCTGTACAGTCGATCAGGAGAAAGATCTTGGCAATGTGACACATCATTCACTGAAGATGGCACAACAAGTGGGGGCAGCAGAGAAAAGGAAAATGCTCCTTCAACTGTGCAAATTTCAAGTACGTCCCAGTCTGGATTACTGATACAGTACAGGCATGAAAAGTCTACCTCCAGAAGGATTTAGCATTCCCAAAAACGGTTCAACACAAAATGACTAAAATGATCCCAGAACTACAGGTATGCCATCACGATTATCCAAGCCTTAAGACTAATAACCCCTCAAACAAGGTACATTAGGGCAGAGCTCATTGAAACATTCAAAGTCCTGAAAGGAATGGAAAACGTGAACCCAGGACATTTCTTTGTGATGTCAAGCACCACCAACACGATATGACATAACTACAAACTCGACAGCTTATCATGCAGAACGAATATAAGGAAATACTGTACTTTTTCACACAGAGGGTGGTAGACCCATGGAACGGTCTACCAGCCCAAGCTGTGGAATCAAGAATAGTACTGGACTTCAAAATAGCCCTTGACAAAATTATCAAGAAAAATGGTGGGATCCTACACAGGTCACGGGCCTCCTTCCCTCGGCACAGCCACCTCTAGTGGGAGGCCATTAGGTAAATAAGGTAAATGTTTTGCACTCTTAACTGTACTATGGAACAAATTTAAGAACTATCTAGATGTTAATGCAAAGAAGAGGGCAAGGAAGGTTATGACACTAGCTGAGAAGATAGTGACGTTAGATAAATGTGAGTGGTGTGGAAGTCACATATGGAACAGAAACCCATTATTCATCAAAAGTGCCACTGATGGTACACTTCAAATTCAAACCCACCACCTTGGATAGGTTAAAAGCAAAAACACAGTGGGCCCTAGACTTTTTGAGTTGGACATTCCTTGGATACTTGTGAATTCAGTGGGACAAGTGGAAATATCAATCCAAGGGAGTTCTGAACTCACCAAAATTTTTAGGCTACTAAGGGGGCAACCTATCCTAACTGTTAAGTGCAAAATAACTCAGTCAAATCTGATTTGGGCTAATTCCTAAACTACGCTCATGGACTGCTGGTACTTGGTGAAGTCCATTTTACCAAACCACTGTACAATATAACCAGAGCCCCTACAGTGAACTTGATCAAATAAAATACTTCCTGATGATAAGAAGTTCTTAAATAACTTTATTAAATGCTCAATAAATCATTAATGATGCTATTCAAATTTGATTTATAACTCTTAATACAGTTCAGTCTATCTAAACATTCTACAGTGAACAAGAACATCAAAATCATCACCAGTATGAGAAGCATGTATGCACAAAGTAAAGTTCACATTTTGTAAAAAAATTATGTACTGTACTGAACATGTCAGTTTTAACAAGTTAAGAGACCGAGTTGTACACTCTCCCCAAAAAGTATCAGCCCCTTTTTTCATCGATACAATGTGTCACAATGGACAAATATTTCTGATCACTAATTGTGATTCCAACATTATGTCCGTAGGCCTGTCTTCCTAGTATCTGTGAGGTTGGCAGTTATTATTTCTGGCATTTGTTACGTGTATCAGACAATGTTCCGTTGCCAACACGAATCATGATATGATACGCTACATTCATAATTGTTACCTCATCAATTGAGGTAGAAATAATATAGAAATGCAGTAAATCATAATATCACTGTAATTGGATATGGCATCATATACACCTGTAATTACTATATTGGTAAATGAATTTAATATAGGATCATAGTGTTTCATATTTCGTTTGAAGCGATTCCATTGTAATGTCGGTTCATGTAAAAATAGTACAGTGGTCCCTCAGTTAACGAGCACAATCCGTTCCAGCAGGTTGCTCGTTAACCGAAAAACTCGTTAACCGAAACCATTGTTTCAATGGGTTTTCGGGTAATTGGTTCCAGCTCACCAAAAATTGCCTAAATTCAACAAAAATGGTAGAAAAATATACTTACTTTGAGGTGTGTATGTAAAAGGCTCCTGGATAATGATGATGATGATGGGAATTAGAATGGGGGTGGAGGAGAAGGGAGAAGAGAAGGCATTGGGGTGGAAGAGAAGTCACCCCATGGCACCATTTCACCCATAAAATTTTAGTTATCTTGGTGTAATTCAAGATTATTTTCTTTAAATCAACACTGCACTGCATTATATATTGTCAATATGTAAAATAAATTTCAAAATGACCAATAATGACCAACACAGAAAAAAGCGTTTAGTTGAAGAGTATCAAGCAAGATGTTACCTCCACTGAAAACAGAGAGACACTAACGCCTGTCTGGTGTGTTAACAGGCTGGATGGCACTCCAGAAACTAGTTTCTTTACCTTCAATTATGTTCAATAATTGTTAAAATGACTAAAAAAGGTAATATCAAACTTTTAAAATTATTGAATAGTATAAACTTCTTGATATTTACTAAAATAGAAAGTAATTTAAGCCCTAAAACCGATTACTGTATTGGCGGACTAATACTACAGCTGGTGGACCGCCAAATGCAAGCGAAAACATGTTGAAGTCGGCTCGTAAAAAACTCGTTAATCGAGGGATTGCTCGTTAACCGAAGTTAAGAATCTTATGAAAGGTAAATCATTAACCGAAATCTCGTTAACCGAGGTGCTCATTAACCGAGGGATCACTGTAACATTATATTCCTATCTGGCAATCCATCCCCTGCAGCTGAAATAGTAAGGTGCATAAATCAGCGGAGTTACTCATGACATTATTGGTTTTGCATATATCACAATTCAACCTATTTCATTACATTACGTAGAGAATATGTGGTATACTGCAGATATCATGGTGATTATCAGGTGCAAGAAGAAAGAACGAAAGGTGCAACTCACAATCAGAAATACCAACCGAACCAAGATTGCTGCGCATGTGTTATTGTGTTCATTTACAAATACATCCGGCCCAGGAGGGTCGATACTTTTTGGGGAGTGTACATATCATTGAACATAAGAAAAACCATATTATAAGTACCTGTGGAGCAAAATGTCTATCTAAATCACTGTGAGACCAGTAAGAGAAGTCAAATGTGAAGTCCTTAATGCGCTCCCGACTCTCTCCTTCATTGGCATTAACCTGGAAAAATAAATTTAAATTAATATAGGATTAATTTACAGTAAACATCGAATCTTTCACAATGCATTGGCAGTGTGAGCACTATGAATTGTTAAATTTTGTGCAAGTACAAAACTGTAATCCCTTTCATGGTACAATATACATGCAATGAAACACAACATTCTCAAGAATGCTAGCAAAACTAAATACAATGTTTTAAAATTCATTGAACATACATATTCAATAGGAATACTGTACAGGAATATATTGCCAAACACTGTTAAAGAAAATGGCTAAAAGGAAGACAAACAACAGCTGTACAAAAATGTTCACTCGACTGATGCACTTGCTTCCATATTGAAGTGATATTCTGCAATGAATTACGTTTGGTTTTATCCCCTTTGAATTTATAAAACGAATAATAGATCGTTGTTCTTCCAAAATACAAAATTTAAGTGGAGCACTCATCATTAATGTAACACTTCCTCGAGACTGACTGAAAAAACTGACTAAACAAACAGATGAAGATGTAGCTTATGCATGTCTAAACATGTTGTAAGATGATCGCTACACTTACCCCTTTCCTTTGCCTTCTTCATCAAAAAGTCTCATTACTTATTGAATGGCCCTTGTAAATGAAAACCTGTAATCCCATAAAACTTATGTTTATTTCCACAGACTACCTTTACTCACAATAAAATGGGGTGTACTGACAGGTATCCCACTGTAACTATACTGTACTTCTACATAGAATTGCCTGCAACTATATTTTTTTTTAATATAAAAAAGTACAGTACAGTCTCTCCTCGACTTATGACAGGGTTCCGTCCCGACGACTGGGTCATAAGTCGAATTGGCCGTAAGTAGAATTGGTCGTAAGTCGAAAAGGCGAAAATAATACATAGAAATTCTAAAATGGGTGTCTCTTTTTCTTCTCAGCACCACGAGAACTCTCACTTTTACGCTTGCCAGCCATTTTAAAGGAAATTACAAAAAAAAAATTGCCAGTACACAGCGCCATCACTAAAGTCGGGACTCGAAAATACGTAATGTGAAAAATATTTTATACGACCATGGCCGTCGTATGTCCGGGTTGTCGTAAGTCGAATATGTTGTAAGTCGAGGAGAGACTGTATTGTAAATAATCTAATTCGACACTACTCCTTTATTTTTCATCAAAAGTGTTTCAAACACGGTCCTTGTAATAAGGATAAGTATCGGCACAATATGGTCGAGTGAATTTTAATATACAGTCATGCGCCGGTTAACGTCCTAGATACGTTCTTGGAAACGTGACGTTAACCAAAATGGATGTTGTCCGATCATCACATAAACTTTGTATTTATGCTTACATGTATGTGGAATACTATATACGTACATATACACTTTTACTCGTAAATCACTACTGTAATGTGATACAGGTGATTAATTTTTATTTCTTGTGAAAAATACATGACGTTTATATTAATATTATTCACTGTTTTACAAGGATTCCAGTAACGCCAGGCAGATGGGGGAGAGAGAGGGTGGAAGCGAGCGAGGGGGTGTGGGGGGAGGGGAGGTGGTAAGTTTGACAGTTGGCACAGGCCCAGGTCTAATGCATGTATATTTATCAGTTTTTAAGTGACTAAGCTTCTCTCTTATATAAAGCCAGTGAAATGACCTGGGTGAATATAATTAACATTATTGGGATTCTTGTAACATACTGATTAATTTGAATATAAACATGCTATAATTTGCACTAGACAAAACAATTTTAGTACCGTAATCAAATTAGTACATGTGCACTCCAGCTTTGCACTACGGTTATTTATTTCTATTACGTTTCTTTTAGTATGATGTGTGCATGTAAATGGATGAAAATAAATGAAGAAATCTATGTAAATCTACCCAAAAATACAGTTGAAAAACTTTTTTATAAAATGTACTACAGTACTGTACACTAATGTACAACAATTTTTATCTCTTGAGCAAATTATATGACGTTTATATTCAAATTATTGGCTGTCTTGCAAGGATTCCAGCAATGTAAATTATAATCTCCTAACTTTAGTCTGAGATATTATATAAGATAAAAACTGTAAGCCTAAAAGGCTGGGGGGGGAGGGAGGGACTGACGGAGCCAGCCAGTCAGCGAGGGGTTGGGGGTGGGGGTTGAGGTGATAAGTTTGAGCCGGTCTCTGTGTGTTTATTTAACAGTCCTACTAAGCTTCTCTCATTTTAAAATGCCAGTGATATGACCTAGGAGAATATAATTAACATTGCTGGAATTCTTGTAAGATACTGATTTATTTGAATATAAACATGTTGTAATTCACACCAGACATAAAAATTTTAGTACCGTAATCAAATTAGTACATGTGCATTCCAGCTTTGCACTAAGGTCATTTATCTCTTTTACATTTCTTTCAGTATGGTGTGTGCATGTAAATGGATGAAAATAAATGAAAAAATTTATGTAAATCTACCCAAAAATACAGTTGAAATTTTTTTTATAAAATGTACTACAGTATTGTACACTAATGTACTACATTTTTTTATATCTAGAGCAAAATATATGATGCTTATATTCAAATTAATCTCTGTCTTGCAAGGATTTCAGCAATGCAAATTATATTATCCTACCTTTAATCTGAGATATTATATAAAATAAACATAAAGAAATCAACAATCTTTTGTCTGGGAACACAAGGAGGGTGGGAAAAGGGGGGTGACAGTATGTCCGGTATTTGTTTGTTTATTTATTTATTTGAGATAAGATTTGACAGTTGGTGCTGAAGGCCTGCCTGCGTGTTTATTTATCATTACTTAAGAGTGACTAAGCTCTTCTCATAATTTGCCACCCAAACGACCTGGGTGAATATAACTTACATTGGAGGGATTCTTGTAATATAGTAATTTATTTGAATACCTGTATAAACAAGCTATATTTGCAATAGACATAACAATTTTAGTACTGTAATCATTTAGTACATGTACAATACAGGTTTGCACTTAGGTCCATTGTTACTGCACAATATTGACTAAATTCACTAGATAACGTATGCCTGGCAGCACAATCTATAAGAATACACGATGCATACGTGACTGTGCCCGCTCTACAGCCATTTAGTTCGCTAGGTCCCATTATTTGAATGTTTTTTTTTTTTTCAATTTAAATTTTAATTGTTTATTCCTTGATAGAGGAAGCGAGATCCTAGTGCTGTCACTTGGTACCCCTGTACCATAACACCAGAAGCAACTGGCCAGTGTCACAAGTATATACAGTACAGTACAGCCATCCCTTGGTTATCACGCCTAATTGGGACCCCGCCAATAACGAAAGTACAGAACCTATGGGTTTTATTCTAATTGGTTCCAGGCACCCAAGACCCAACCCCAAGTTTCCCATTTTATGACCATTTATACCCACTAAATATATATATATAATGTTATGGTAAATATCACAAACACACATAGGCATGGCTAGGTTTATTACAAAGTGATGAAAAGGGTATGCTTAATACTGTAGTCCACAAAACATGTAGCTTTGCTTTTTTTATTTGGTCCCCCATCATATGAGTCTGTTTTCTCTCACATCAGGATGCCTGAGTCCTCCGTTTTCTCTCTTAATCTTAGAGAGTACCAGAAACTTTACTATTTTTAGTAATGCCACAGAATTTGAAATTGCAACCCCAATTGCAACTGGGGGTGCAATTGTTGAGGCAACTAGATATGTCTGATTACAGCAAATGTGTTATTGTCAAATTGTCGGTGAAAGATTTTATGCTCAATAGATGTAGGTTAACATTACACCTGTAGGCAAAAAAAGCCTAAGGAAGGAAGCATATTCCTTTAACACATAATATCTGACCAGTATGGGGAGGATCATCGTGTCTCCGTCAGGGGGTCGTGGAGTGGTGGCGCAGCAGGCGTCACGGATTTTTTTTGGGGGCACGGACGTATATGCGATCGGACGTTAACCAGCGCATGACTGTACTGTATCTTGTTTGGTTACAGAGATAAAAAAATTTAATTATGGGAACACTGTAAAACAAAAAAAAATTGCATTTTTCTCAAAAACCATTCGGCAGTTTTCATTAATACTTACAGGATCTTTGATTTATATGATCCCTAATATCATACTTAAAACTCTGGTAAATCCATAAAAAAATTACATGCACCTCCAAGAGTAAATGGCACACGAACCTCTTAATCTAATATCGAAATAAAGAAGAGAAGAGTTCTATGTGCTTAAAGTTTCCCATCTTTTCAAAAAGCTCCCCTGTGCAGCCAGTTTTACAGAGCCACCTGTCTTCAGGCAGTTCTAGAAAAAAGCTCTCAATGAAATCTCTTACCATATGATGCTTACAAAGATACTTATAATTACCTTGTGATTGATTAACCTCGTTTTCTTGTCATCAACTTCTACGATACACACAGAGTTCAAGTCCACTTCCCTGAAAAAAAAAGCAATCATTAAATATGAGGGATTTATCCTTAAATCCTATTTTGTGAAGAACATGGATTGAGTGACTCATGTACAGGGTTTACGGTCAATTCACCCACATTTAGAGTTTATTCGCCCACACTTAGGAGTCAGTTTGCTCACACCTTAAGTCAGTTCGCGCACACTTTGTCAAGGTCTATTAAAGTTTATTCATGTACTTGACGAAAATGTAATATGTACAAATTAAATCCAAAAAATGTTTATTCAGTGACTTTCAAATATAAAAACCTACCTAAAATACACAAACCAAAACATTTTCAAATGTCAATCGTAGAAGTAACATAGAGTGGATTCAGGATATTTGGTCACATATCAGCTGCTGACTGGTCCATTGAGATGGGAGCAAGCTCTCAGAAGTTGGCAAGATGACCTCCCATTCCTCAAGTATTTGTCCCAAAGTGCGAATATTTTGGCCTGCATCTCCTTATACTGTACTGTACTTTCTTCGCTGGATCCTTCGGAGCTTCATTTTTTAAACCAGCCTTATATGTATAGAGGTTAATCTGGCCACTTTTTAAAAAAGGTTAACAAGCAGATAATACTGAAGGTGGCATCTTCCAGCAGCGCGTTTATTCAGTCGGTTGTGCAATTCTTCAATGTCATTATTGGTACAGTAGAACGTCGATTTAAAGCAATTAACATAATACTACAAAAAACAATGTTTTGTTTATTCTAGGAGATGGGCTGAGGTGCATCTGGGTAAACTCTCAGTCTTTTTAGTATTTTGTGTTTCTCTCAAGTACCAAACTAAATTATTTCATTGAAACAACACTTCGATTTAGTACGAATTCAGTTTAAAGCGACCTCTCTTGGAACCTATCTCATGTTATATCAACGTTCTACTGTACACACGGACCGGTTGAAAATACTCCAACTGGATGGTGGCCATGTGGTGGCTTGGCGCTGGAGACGTTTGAACATCGGAACTATTTCTCCCTCCGGCAGAAACAGAAGGGCCATCAATTTGCACAGGTATAGTACTTGTATGTTCCGTCATCATGTGCGTACGCATGTTGCAGACCAACCTCTTGCACCTATAATAATAATAAAAAAAACATTAAATACATATTTTTTTTTCATTTTTGTATATTTGATTACAGTAATTTCACTTACTAACCTTCCTCCATACAGCCTATATCCAGTGGAAAACGCATCCCATTAACTCAACGCTGGGCAAATCCTCCCCCAGGATTTTCCAAATTACCTTTTCACAGTCAATAGTTATATGTTTAACCACAGGTTCTGTTAAAAGAATGGTTATTAGTTCACTCTTCTTTTTGCCAGACGATATTTTCAGTTTCGAAAACTTTATTGAAGTTCAGTTGTTTACATTAGTGCATTACTAAACCTAAATAAAACAGATGACAAAACAGGTGTGGGCGAACCGACTCGATAGTGTGTGTGAATCAACTCTAAATGTAGGTAAAATGACTTGTGGGCGAACCAACTCCATAGTGAGGGCGAAATGACTTTTGGGCAAAATGACCGGATTCCATGTACAGTACAGGTACTGGCATCAACCAGCTTGCATGCTTAACTAGAGGGTTCACAGGAACCTTTTACTTCTGCAACTGGACTAGACCTCAGAAATTCAGTAAAACTAGAAAATTAAAGACAGTCAGTCCTGGTTCAACCATAGTCCCAGGTCATGAACGAGTTCTGTTCCTGGGGACGTTCTTAAGTAGAAACACATACTGTTACCACATGCCTGCCCGTATATAGAGTATCGAGTAGTGGAGATAGAGAGAGGGGGAGAAGGATGGTGTTTGTATGGTAGTAGGGAGTTGTTTGGGTATAAAACACCTGACGCAGCAAAATATGTCACCTCAGGCTGGGCCTGCTATGAGCGGCACTAACACTCCAGCTCTACCCATCATAGGGTGAACACCCAACCCATTTGGTTTGAAACCTTCAACATGTAAGTTCAACCTATACTTAAGTTTACACAAGTAGATTGTGCCCATTGTATCGCTTATCATTGTGACAGCATGGAAATATGGCAAATTAAGTACTCATTATACTTTATGATTAGACTAATTAAACAGCTAAGATAGCAATGCTTGTTAAGTTAATATGAAGTGGATTAAACATTTATGTATGATTACCTATGTATGATTTATTATTTGAAATACTAAGAAAGAATTTAATTCAACAGGTTTGACCGAATTATAATGTTCGAGTTCAACGTGATGGGTTTTATTATCCCTTAATCACTCCAAAGGCAATTATACTGTACATACTATGTACATACCGTAGTTACAGAAAAATGTTTAAAATTCCACTACAATATAGTCTCGATTTACGCGGATTTGGTTTACGCGTTTGGTCATTTACACGGCACCTTGCCAGACCGACAATTTTTATTTACACGCTTCATTCCATCATTTACATGGGAAGCGGCGCGGGCAGGGTGCGCACAAGGTCGCCCAGTCAACAAAACATTACCGAGTTCTTCACCCGCCACCCACCACAGCCAGCCCAAGTCAGTGATAGTGAGGATATGGACTTGAGGGGTTTGACAAAGAGGCCCTGCAAGCCTCTGTGGTGGATAGTGATACAATTGATACAAGTGAGGGCCAATAATCTGCCCTCTGCCTCAGAACCAACCCCCCATCCCCGTGTGCCGAGCCAGCTTTTCTACTAACGTAAGTGTTAAAAAACCTAATATTATTGATATTTCTCTTAAATATTAATTGTGTGTGCATACCATCCTAAAATTAAAATGTTATTTTTATTACAACGCACTATTGTGTCAGAAAAAGTGTAGTTTGGGGGTCGGCCCAGTCTCTATTTCAATTAATCCCATATGTTGTGTTATTTCGTTTACGCGTTTCTCGTTTTAAGCGGACCTCCACGGGTTCAATTGACCGCGTAAATGAAGACTATACTGTATATCATAGCCCAAGTCTTTATATACATCTAAAATCACTTAATTTAAGACAAAAGAAGAAATAGAATGACTAAATATAGTAATTACAGTAAAAAAAATTATTTTTACTCTTATTTTATCGCCTCCAGGCCCCGTTGTGGGTCGATAACTTGTGCCCGGGTGGGTTATTCCCCATAAAAAATAAATAAAAATACTGAGTTTGTGAGTAATAAGAGGAAAGAAATAAAATTTTAATGTGTAGCAGGAATTTTAAATGCCCAGAGTAATTTACAGAACTAGAGGACACTTTATGGGTTAAACTATAAAGATGTTTCCGGTATTTGTTAGGTTGGTTCGGCCAGGTTCTGTACATTCTCATTTCCATTTTCGTGTTGAGTATCATGCAAACAGTCTTGAGAAATTTTGGTTCAATTCCAGTTGACCAAACACAATCCTTAACACTTAACTTACAGTTTGAAAACCATGTACAGTACTTTAGAAAGCACTTTTCTTTGCCACATAGTGCATTTTTTCATCTTTTGTGCTCGTAAAAGTAAGACCATTTGTTACACACAAATAAATATTTCTTGTTAAGTGTCAGTTCTCTGTTGCATTTTGAACACTTACACATCCTGCCAAATAGTTCATGTTCACAGATAGATAGATGGTCTTCATCCTCCACAAAGATAATTAATTTGTGATACGACAATTAGCAACAGTCACACGTTGCCATAACTATGGATATGGCTATCATAGCTTGCTTGTCTCGTTCATTTTTTGTTAACCACCCATCAACTTTCAAGACTTTTTCTCTTACCATTTAATAATTCTCTTTGAGAAACGAATATAATGTTAGAAGTTCTGCTACAACTTACAATGTGTTCTCAAAATATCGTGTTATAGAAAATCGCGTAATAGAAATAATAGGGCTTATGGAGAAAATAGGGTTAGGTGCAGTTTACTCGAAATCGAAAAAATTTAGTAGTTAGCCTAACACAAAGGATAGCACAGTCTAAATAAATGTTACATTCATATCTAATAATGAAATCATACAGTAAATTTAACACTTTACCTTGAAAAAATATGAATGTAACTTGATGGGGGAGAAGGGTGATTTTGAGGTTGATAACATCAAGCTTCTCTTCAAGTGTTATATCCTTTCTTTTACGATAATCACCGGGAATTCTATCATCAGAATGCTTTTTGGAGATATTCTTCTTTACCATATTCACAGTTAATACCACAAAATTGGAGAAATAGTAAGCAAAAATCGCGTTATAGCAAACAAGCGATCGCGTTATACAAATATTGTTCCGAATTCATAAATCGCGTTAGAGCAAATTCGCGTTATCAAAACACGCGTTATAGTAGAACTCACTTGAATTTAGCGGGGCATTCCAAAAATAAACAAGATACTCGTGATTTATTTGTTGTAATAATCAAAAAAATTTCTAAATCCCAATTTGATGTTAGGTTAGATCAGGTTAGGTCAGGTTAGTATGTAGACCTATTTAATTTTAACCTTTTTTCCCCATGATTTTTTTTTCAATACTTATTCATTTTTTGGTGAAAATCACTCGTTTTCAACCCCCCCTCCCCAACCCCAAACCCGCATTTCTAACGTGGCCCTGTATAGTGTTGGGGTGGAAGGGGGGTGGAAATAATAAAAAAATAAAAATAAAAATAAAGCTACTCCTTGACTTACAACATACTCGACCTATGACCACCTACACATACGACCGCCTCGGTCGGTACGACCACCTGCACATACGACTGCCGCAGTCGGTACCAAAATTTTTTCAAATGACGCACGTATTTTCTAGACCAAAACGTTTTCGTCCAGTACGAGAGCGTCACTTGGGCTGTGTCGCGTCGCCTCGTGGCTACAGCACCCACGCCGTAGAGCGCTTAGTTGGTGTTTTGCTGTCGTTGTTGTCGATAGTGATCACGCTGTGTACTGACAATATTTTCATTTCTAATTCACTTTAGAATGACTGGCAAGCGTAGGAGTGAGAGCGCTGGTGGTGCTGAGAAGAAAAGGAGACAGTCAATTACTTTTGAGACGAAAATGAAGATAATAA